CTCAAAAAAAAAAAAAAAAAATAAGGTGCAGTTTATATAGTACAGGCAGTGAGTGTGAAAGAAAATGGGAGATCGTGAAGGGTTGGGGTCCTCTAGGAGAGTGGTCCCCAACCTTTTTGGCATCAGGGACTGGTTTCGTAGAAGACAATTTTCCACAGACAGGGACGAGGGGGCCGATGAGCAGTCAAACTTCACTGTTAATCCCTGCCTCAGCTCCACCTCAGACCATCGGGTATTAGATTCTCATAAGGAGCATGCAACCTAGATCCTTCACGGGTGCAGTTCACAACAGGGTTAGCAATCCTATGAGAATCTAATGCCATCGTTGATCTGCAGAAGACTGAACTCCACTCACCCATTGCTCACCTCCTGCTGTGCAGCCCAGGTCCTAAAAGGCCATGGACCAGTGCTGGTCTACAGCCCAGGGTTTGGGGACCCCTGCTCTAGGAGGAGAGGGAGGGAGGTGACAAACTTTCCTGTGGGTGAGAGCCAGGAAGACAGAAGTCAGTTCTGGGGGGTGGAGGGGTGGGCAAAAAGGAGGTGGGCAGGATGACTGGAACAGGGCACATAAGGTGGGGTTGGGAGCCTTGAATGACAGGCGCAAAGAGGAGTGTCACTTGAAATGGGGAAAACAGGGAACAATTGCAGTCTCTATGGGGGAGCTATAGAATGGACTGGAGAAGCTATCATTTCCAAAACCAGTTCTGGCCAAGAAGGTTGAAGGCTGCTGTGGACCCTGGACTCATGTGTGTTTTTCCTCTTCCCTAGGAGCAATGCCAGGCACCATAGTCACCACGGGGAACATTTCCACAGAGGAAGGTGGCTCTGTCATCTTACAGTGTCACCTCTCCTCCACCATGGCAGAAGTGACCCAGGTCATCTGGGAGCAGCAGGATCAACTCCTGGCTACCCATCATGCTGAGTTGGGGTGGCACATCCAACCAGCCTTCAGGGAGCGAGTGGTCCTGGGTCCCAGCCAGGGCCTCACCCTCCAGTCACTGACCATGAACGACACGGGGGAGTACTTCTGCATCTATCATACCTACCCTGATGGGATTTACAGAGGGAGAATCTTCCTGAAGGTCCTGGCAAACTCAGGTACTCCTGCTGGAGCAAGGTGGAAACACTCCATGCAGCAGGGCTTCTCAATTCCATATCACACTGGAATCACCTGAGGAACTTTGAAGGAATACTGATGCCAAGGGCCCCACCCAGATCAATTAAATTAGAACCTCCAGAAGCAGGAGACTAAGATGGGAGAGGTTCTAAAAGCATCCCCAATGAATCTAAGGGGCAGCCAGTCTGAGGACCCCATTCTTGCATAAGAAGTGTATCTTAGCTGCGTTTACTAGGAAGACCAGTTGCGGAGGTCATATATGAAGAGTTCCCATTAATTGGTTTAGTATCAATCATGCCAAGTGGAATTAGTCCCTATGTTTATAAAAATTAGAGCTGCTTAAACACAAAGCACAGCATATACTAAGTGTAAATGCCCAATAACTTATGTTTACGTGGTACTTCAAAGTTTCCAAGATGCCCTCATGTTTGTTATCCACATGGGCACTTAAATCAATTCTCCAGAGATTGACAAAGAATTCTTTTTGTTTTTGAGACAAGGTCTCACTCTGTCACCTTGGCTGGAGTGCAGTGGCATGATCCTGGGTCACCACAGACTTGACTTTCGGGGCTCAAGTGATGCTCCCACCTCAGCCTCTCCAGTAACTGGGGCTACAGGCACACACTACCACTACACCAGGCTACTTTTTAAATTTTTTGTAGAGATGAGGTCCTGTCATGTTGTCTAGGTTAATCTTGAACTCCTGGGCTCAAGTGATTCTCCTGCCTTGGCCTTCCAAAGTGCTAGGGTTATGGGTGTGAGCCACTGTGCCCAGCCTGGAAAGGACTCTGAGAGACAGTAGAGCATAGCGTTAAGAGCTCTGACTCTGATGGAAGAATGCCTGATTCCAAATCCTGGCTCTGCTATTGACCTCAGACAGGATTACATAACTTCTCTGGGCACCAGTTGTCTCATCTGTGACATGAGGATAGATGTAAGACCTTATGAGGTGCTACTGTTGGACTGAATTACCTATGACAAAAAAATGTCATAGAACAGCACCAGGATCCTGATAAGCACTTGATAAGTGCTGACTATTAACGTGATTCCCATTTGACTGACGGAGGCAGAAGCTGGAAGTTGCTGAGTGGGAGAGCTGAATTTAGCTCAGGTGTTCTGGCTCCACTAACCCACACCTTCAGAATTTCCATTTGCTGCCATCAACTGTTGGAGATTAAGTTTTGTGAGTTTGTAAAATATATGTTAGCTGAGAAAATACAAAGTTACCCTGAAGTGTTTCCTTTCAAATGCTACTTCTTGGTTGGTTGGACATAGGCCAAATGCAGCAAGTGGTTAAGAGCCCATGCTCTGAAATCACACTACTTGGGGTTGACCCCAGGTAATCTGGATACATTCTTTACCTTTTTCACATTTAGAAAATGTGGTGAATAATCTCATGATTTGATACACGTAAGGTTTTAGATCAGTACTAGACACATAATACGTTTAACTTGATAAATGCTAGTTATTATGCTATTTATTGGTTAATGGTGAGACCTGAGACAGTAAATAGGACAGGGGACCTGGTTTCTAGCAAAGTAACCAAGTGATGGCCTTGACCATTCTGGGCTTTTCACCCCAGAGTCATATGCCTGAGAGCCTGTCACCAGACTCCAGGACCGGGAGTAGGGAGGGAGCTCAAGTGGAAGACCTCCGTAGGGGGGAGGTCCCAGGAACTGGAGGCCAGATGGAAGCTATGTCTACTTGCTCATGACCAGACTGGGACTTTCAACAACCAATAGTCCTGACAAGCACACTCCTCCCAGAGGCTACAGTGACATAGCTATTCCCCAGAGTGAAAATGGAAAAATGAAGGTGCACATTTCTTCCCTGTGGCTCATGGGTCACCTGGGGAGAGAGCTCAGAAGAGGTTCTATTGGACCCCTGTTCAGTTTCTCTGCAAAGCCTGTACGTTTCCAACCTTCTGGTCATTGCAGACTCCAAGGAACACCACTGGTCACTCCGATTTCCCTTCTTGTTTCTCAAGTGGTCAGTTGCTTACCTGGAATGTTAATTTTCCTTTAATCACTTGCAGACCTCCAGCCTGACTTCTTTCTGACCCTATTCTCAAACCTGAGTCCATGTTCCTATTCTAACACTAATTATAATATTTAAGTGATTTCTAACCTTAGTGCTAGTGTTGACCTTTACCCTGAAGCTAATTTGGTTAATTGACACAAGGTTTAAGTAGCCCTTCCTCACCCTGCCTGTAGTGATACTGTCATGCTTTCTGCAGGGCTGCTTCTTTTTCAAAGATCTTGACATCTTTGTTCTGTGACCATAACTATAAATGGAGGAATAGGTGCTTTTACTTCAAACCAAAAATTCCTAATGAAGTTGATGTTCCAAACTTCCCAAATTTTACTCTGGTCCTAATTGTATCTCTAACTGATCTTTAAACCTAGCCAAACTCATTATCATAATCTTCCCCAAACTTCATTAAGGTCTTAACCCCATCTATGTCTTGTTGATGAAAATTCTAAACTCTGTAAAATACTTAACGCGGTTTATTCAGAGCCAATTGTGAGTGACCCAGGTCCATGGCAGAGTCCCAAGAGATCCTGAGAGCGTGTGCCCCAAATGGTTGATTTTTACAACTTGACTTTAGACATTTTTAGGGAGACAGAAGTTACAGGCAAAACATAAGTCAATGTGAGGTTTACTGGGACCAGGAAGCAGGTGGAGAGATTTCAGATCAATGGTAGTTTCAAAGATTTTGTGATTGGCAATTGGCAAAAAGAATTAAACTCTGTCTAAAGAATGTAAAATCAGTAAAAGAAATCCTTGAGTTAAGAGGGAGCTGAGGAAGCCAAAGTTCTTGATATGTAGATGAAGGGCTCTAAGCAGCAGGCTTCTAAGACAATAGGTGGTAGGTGCCTTAAAAGGTGTCCTCTGCAGATGCAAATTTCCCCAAGAAACAGTTTTGCAGAATCACTTCAAAATATGTCAAAAAATTTATTTTGGAGTAAAGTATTTTTATTCCCTTCAGGGCTTGCTATCAGTCATGTGATGCTATACCAAAATCAGGTTGGAATTTGGTATCTTATCACCACAGAGTCTATTCTGCAAGTCTTATTATCTCTATTTTTTTTTTTTTTTGAGTTGGAGTCTCACTCTGTTGCCCAGACTGGAGTGCAGTGGCCGCTCCCGGTCACCGCAGCCTCGACCTGCTGGGCTCCTGCGATCCTTCCGCCTCAGTCTTCCAAGTAGCTGGAACTATAGGCGCGCGCTACCACGCCCGGCTAATTTTTTTGTTCATTGTAGAGATGAGGTCTCACCAAGGTGGGTCTCAAACCTGTGGGCTCAGGTTGTCCTCCTTTTCTGTCATGGCCTGGGATTTAGATTTTCAGGTCACCTTTGGTCCAGATGGGGTACATTCTGTCAGTTAGATGGGGACTTAATTTTTTATTTTTGGTTTACTATCTATACATAAGCTGTAAGAGAACCCAGTCCTAACTTTGGCTCCAACCTGGCTGTACTCTCACACTTCAATTATATATCCTTTTCTTTTTTTGTGGATAGTTGTCTGCAGCCCCTCTGACCTTTGAAGTGTATGCTCCATAACTGCTTTGCCCCCCATCTGTCCGCTTGTCTTCTGAGCAAACGTTATGACTGTGACTAACCATGGGCAGTCCTGACCTCACCATGACTGAGTCCTCAGGGCAGGAGGAACAGGTTCTGGGGAGTTTGGATTCTTCAGTCCCTGCCCTTGTCCTAAGGTATTGGATTCCTTACCACCTTTCCAGCAATCTAAGCCCTTCATTAGAAGGAAGAGGTGCCAGGCTTCTGTTGTACCCTTCCACTCTTCTATTGAGACTTCCCTGGACAGCTGCTTCCTGACTGAGTGCCTGAGGAAGAGGTAGAGGTAGAATGGAGCACCTGGAAACCCTTCCCCTATAGTACAATACTCATGGAGCAATAATGTTGCTTTTCTCACAATCTCTTTGGATCACATATCACTCATTTCTTCAAAACTGTCCTCCTGCATCTTCCTTCTGCCATTTACATTTTATGTCTTAAAGAAATCCACTTGTTTATGCTTTCATTCATGCCACAGATATTTACTGAGCATTCACTATGTGTCAGATGCTGAGAAAACAGCAAAGGATAATACCCTAGAGTTTTACCTTCTCCAGGGTTTCACAGCCTAGCTGAAAATAAGTGTTATGGGCTTAAGGTGAAAGGTTATATGATTTTTTTTCTTTTTTTGTAATTTAATATTAAATTATTTTAATTTTTCCTTAGGCTGGGTGTGGTGGTTCATACCTATAATCCCAGCACTTTGGGAGGATGAAGCAGAAGAATTGCTTGAGCCCAGGTGTTCAAGACCAACCTAGACAACATAGCAAGAACTTGTCTGCTTTTATTAAAAAAATTCTTTTTATTAAATATTTTATTGGTATGATTTCATAGTTGAAATTTAATAAGATAAAATATTAACTTTCTGGGGTTTTTTCTGGATAATATTATTTATTTCATTTTATGATTACTGAAAATAATCTCACTGAATAGAGGAAAGGAGTGTTAAAATGGTGTCAAATACCTGAGGTATTCCACTGCTCAAGAGGTCAGTCATTGATTTCATGATAGACCAGGTGGATGCTCTGCTGTCCAAAGAGTTCGGCTCAAAGACTCCAGTCCTGTGGTTAGAAAAAGGGCCTGACCAATGCTCACCCCTGTGCCATGAAGCTTGCTGGGGCTTCCCTGGGGAAGGCGCCTTTGCTTCTGGCCTCTGCCACTCACCTCTGTTTTTCCTCCCTCTAGTGGCTAAGCACCACACTGCAATCCAGATTCCATTGCTTGGAGCCATGGCCACAGTGGTCATCTGCACAGCGGTCATCGGGGTGGTCATGCTGATTAGAAAGGTAATGGCTCTGACTCCACCTCTCAGTCATGGGCACCCCATCCCCTGCCACCCTGGCCCTTCCAGTTTCTCTTTCTGTCCAGAGAGAGACCTAGATGTGATCTCTCCTCTTTGTGTCTTTATTTTATTTTTTATTTTAAAGGTATATGGTACTATTCAGGATTAGGTATACAACTGGACATCGCACAGTTAAAGTGTGGACCTCCCTTTGGTCCCCACTTTGCCTGGTTTGAGATCAGGTACCCTTATTGATGTTGTGTCCTCCATCCCCACCCCGGCAGCCTCCCTCTACCATCAATCCCTTTTCTTTGTGTCTTATTCTGCCTTTTAGTATAACTATTCATGCTCTTCCCTTGTCCTTCTCCCAAGCTGGGAACTCCTGGAAGGTTGGACCTGTTTCCAACCTATCTTGATGTCATCTACAGTTCCTAGTTCCTATCTGTCCCTTAAGTCGCTGCTCTGAGAGTTCGATTTATCTATGATGAGTTTGATGTATCTTGGGCATCTACTACATGCCAGAGCTTTCTGTATGTTAGCTCTTTTCATTTTTACAATTCTGGTAGTGCTGGGCAATCCAGAATGAGAAATAAATGCTCCCCAAATTTAGGGGTAAAATGTACATGGTAAGACCAGCAGGTTATAAAGCCTCCATTACTTTAGCTTAAGAAGTTGTGTGGCTGAAAGAGTACTGAATGGGAACTGAGAGATTTGGCTTCTAGTTTCAGCACTGACTAAGTGCATGATTTTAGGGAAGTTACTTAATCTTTATGGGTCTCCATTTCCATTCACATATATAAAATGGGGCATTGTCTTATTTTCTGTGGCTATAACAGAATACCACACACTTGGAAATTATAGAGAAAGTTTATTTGACTCATGGTTCTGGAGGCTGGGAAGTCCAAGAGCATGGTGCATCTGATCAGGGTCATCCCATGGCGGAGGGTATCATGTGATGAGTGAGGTGCATGTGTGAGACAGAAAGGGAAATAGGGGCGGAACTCATCCTTTTTATTAGGAACCCACTATCAAGATGTCAGCATTAATCCCTTCATGAGGGCAGAGCCCCTGTGGTCTAATAACCTCTTAGAGCCCCCACCTTTTAATAGTGCTACAATGGTAATTAAGTCTCCAACACATTTGGAGGGGCACATTCAAAACAGCAGAATTATGATTCTGCTTGTTCCATATCACAGAGTTGTGATGAACAGGTGGCATATTTCACGTAAAAAGTTTGAAAATAATAAAGAAAAATATCAATGTCTTTACTGTGCCATAAACCGGTAGCTATTGATTTGGATGCATGAAGGAATTTCCCCCTTCTTGTTTTGTCTGATATCTTGGGCCTTTTAAGTCAGTCTGGGTCACCTTCAAGTCACCACACAAACATTCTGGAGAACCCAGGGAGGCTGTGATTCCTAACACCATTTTCCACCTTCAGCCTAGACCCTCCTACCTGACCCATTTTCTCTCCAACTCTCATAACACTCAACCAAAAACTCAACTCTGTAGCCCCACACAGTCACGCATTGCTTAACAATGGGGACATATTCTGAGAAATGTGTCATTAGGTGATTTCCTCATGCAAACATCATAGAGTGTACTTACACAAACCTAGATGGTGTCGCCTACTACACATCTAGGCTATATGGTAAAGCCTGTTGCCCCTACCCTACAAACCTGTGTAGCATGTTACTGTTCTGAATACTGCAGGTCATTGTAACATGTTAGTAAATATTTGTGTATTTCAACATATTTCAACATAGAAAAGGTACAGGAAAAATATAGTGTAAAGAAAAAATTGGTATACCTGTATAGGGCACTTACCATGAATAGAACTTGCAGAACTGAAAGGTGCTTTGGGTGAGTCAATGAGTGAGTGGGGGAGTGACTGTGAAAGCCAAGGACATGACTGTCCACTACTGGAGATTTTATAAACACTACATACTTAGTCCACACTAACTTTATTAAAAATACTGCACTTCTTTCAATAATAAGTTAACCTTAGCTACTGTTACTTTTTTACTTTATAAACTTTAAAATTTTGAAAAACTTGTGGACTCTTTTGTAATAACACAGCTTAAAACACAAACACATTGTACAGTTGTATAAAAATATTTGTCTTCTTTGTGTCCTTTTTTTATAACATTTATTTTTGTTTACATTTTAAACTTTTTTATTAAAAACTAAGACAAAAGCACACACACTAGTCAAGGCCTATACAAGGTCAGGATCATCAATGTCATTGTCTTTCACTTCTACATTTTGTCCCATTAGAAGATCTTCAAGGACGATAACACACATGAAGCTGTCATCTCCTATGATAACAATGCCTTTTTCTGGAATATCTCCTGAAGGACCTGCCTGAGGTTGTTTTACAGCGAACTTTTCTTTAAGTAAAAGAAGTACCCTTTAAAATAACATTTAAAAATTTAGTATAGTAAATACATAAACGAGTAACAGTCATTTATTGCTATTATCAAGTATTATGTAATTTTATGTGCTGTACTTTTTTTCCTCATGTGTGCTATACTTTTATATGACCAGCTGTGTAATAGGTTTGGTATACCAGCATAACCACAGACACAGGAGTAATGCATTGTGTTACATTAGGACAGCTAGGACGCCACTAAAGGATAGACATTTTTCATCTCTGTTATAATCTTATGGAACCACTGTCCTATATGAGGTTCCTTGTTGACATAAATGACATGCAACACATCACTATAGTACTCTCTGTGGACTATGTGCTTGGTGTTGTTATTTCTGACATATGTGGATTTACAGCTACCGTCTTCTTTTCTTCCCATTTTCTTTATTTCCCTCCCATTCTGTCTTGCCATCTTTTGAATTAAGGTTCTTTTTTATTATTAAAAAGATCTATTTGTTAGCTATCCATTTTTAGTGGTTACATTACAGATTATAGACTATACCTCTGACTTATTAGAGTCTGGTATAAATGAGTATTTTATCTTTTTTGGCTAATGTAAGATCCTTAGAGCATGTTAACTTTTTTCACCTCCCTCCCTAACTTGTTGCTATTATCACACATTTTAGTTCCCTCTATATTTTAAATGCTCAAATAAATTACTATTACTTTATGAGCCAATATTCATTTAGATTCACCCTTTCTATTGCTTTTAACTCTTTTCTGCATGTCCTGCCTTGTAACTGGGATCATTTTCCTTTCACCTGAAGAATAGCCTGTAGTATTTCCTTTGCTGCACATCTGCTAGTGATGAATTATTTTGGTTTTTGCTTGTCTGAAAATATCATTATTTTTTCTGTATTTAAAAGTGATATATTTGTTTTGCTAGTTATAGAATTCTATGTTGGCAGTTATTTTCTTTCAGCACATGGACAATATTATTCCGATGTCTGGCTTCCTGTGTTTCTGTTGAGAAATCAGATTTTGTTTTTGCTCTTTGAAGATACATCTTTTTTTCTTCTAGTTCTTTAACAATTTTCTTGTCTTTGGTTTCAGCAATTATATAATGATGTAATTAGGTATAGTTATCTTTGTATTTATTCTGTTTGTAGTCTGGAGTGCTTTTTGAATCTGTGTCTTGTTGTCTTTTGTAAGTTTTGGGTTATTTCAGGTCATCATCTCTTCATATATTACTTCTGCATTCTTTGCTTTCTACTCCCTCTATTTACAGGTATTTTAGATATGTTAACTTTTCTGTGCATGTCTCATTACTATTTTTTGGTATTTTCCATCCATTTGTCTCATCATATCTTAAAATGGATGTTTTCTCTAATATACTTCCACTTTATATCGAATCTTTATTTGAATAGCTTAAAGTCTGCCAAAATTCTCTATCTTGCCTTTTAATTCCTTGAAAATATTAACCCGTTATTTTGAGGGCTTTTCCTGATAATCCTATTAATTAAATCCTCCGTGGGTCCTTTTCTATGGTCTATTTTTACTTGTTTCTTGGTCATATCCTATTGGCTATTAGGTTCATTCCATTTAATGCCATACATTCTACACGAAAAGTTATAACAATAATTTGAGGCTCTAGAGAATATCATCTTCTTCCAGAAAAGACTCCCTTTTGCTTCTGGAAGATGGCTAGTCTGGAGACCCTTGGCAATTCTAGGTAACCTTAGTTAAATAGGTCAGGAGAGGATTTAAAGCTGTACTTCAATTTCTGTTACTCCCTTACTTCTAGTTTTCCAAAGTCTCCTCTTCTTGGTGGTTTCTTTCTTTTTTTTAAAATTTAATTAAATTTAATTTTTTTAATCAATATTTTTTATTATGATATTGTGGGGTACAGTTAAGGGTTAGGTAGACAAATATGCTTCATTCAGGCACCCTTGTTGATAAGAGGTGTCTCCCCATTCTTGGTGGTTTCTGACCTTCAAATTTTGTTTCTTCAGCTAGAAGCTCTGTTTAGCTTATCTGCCTCTCGGGCACAACTTTGAAGCAATTGCCCTCAGGTTTTCTTCTTATTCTGGATGTTGCTTCCAGTCCACAAATTTCTTACTAATTTGACAGATCTCTGGTTTCTTTTTTTCCTTAATCCTCAGTGATATCTAGGCTGATCTATTCCTTCCTTCCTTCCTTCCTTCCTTCCTTCCTTCTCTCTCTTTCCTCCCTCCCTTCCTCCCATCCTCCTTCTCTCCCTCCTTTCTTTCCCTCCCTCCCCTCCCTCCCTTTCTCCCTCCCTCCCTCTCCCTCTCTCTCTCTCTCTCTTTCTTCCTTTTCTTTCGAGTTGAAGTCTCACTCTGTTGCCCAGGCTGGAGTGCAGCGGCATGTTCCCAGCCACCACAGCCTTGACCTGCTAGGCTCAGGCAATCCTTCTGCCTCAGGTTTTCAAGTAGCTGTAACTACAGGCACGAGCCACCTCGCCTTGCTAATTTTTTTTTCTTTTTGATTTATTGTAGAGACAAGGTCTCACCAAGTTGCCCAGGCTGATCTTGAACCCCTGGGCTCAGGTAATCCTCTCACCTTAGCCTCCCAAAGTGCAGGCTTGAGCCACTGTACCTGGCCCTCTCCCT